GCCTTAGTTGATGTCAAGAACGGAAGAACTTTTTATGCACAAGCTGAAGCTGCGAAAACCAACTGAGGAGCAGAAGCACCTTAAAGGTTGAAGTAAGAGGAAATTATTATACAGTAACGTAAAAACCGGCACTCATTTTTCATGATTTTGGAATTCAAATCTTTTTCTGGATGGACGTCTTTGCCTTCACGAAGCAGATTCATTTCTTACACATTTAACCAATTGAAATAACATTGTTGTATATCCTTGAATGTAGGGCAAAATAAGGCAGAAAGAAACAAAATCTCTTTTTAGTAATCCTTTTCCAGACTAGTAGGATCGATTGAATTTACCGCACAGTTTTATGGGTCTAAGAAAATATATATAAAAAAATCTAGTCATTTCACATATTTTAGTTTTTATTCATTTTATTATTTTTCCACACAAAATAGATTATTGTGGTAGAGAAATCTCCGTATAAGTCTGTTAAGTTTCTGTTTTTTTGTTTATTTTCCTAGCTTTCGATCACTTTTTCTTCGTTTTTCATATAGAAGTTAGAGCCGTGAACAACATCCTCCCTCCGGGGAATGGTCCCTTGTTTTATTTCCTCGGTAGCACTTTCAGACTATAAGTCCTATTCCATCTGGTGATCTGTGAGCAGATCGAGGAAAAACTAGAGGGCAGTTTAGACACTTCCCCATCCCCCTCAGGGTTTTGCTGTGTTACAGTACAGTCTGGGAAATGAGATATTATGTAATGGCGCTGTTAGAATTCCGTGACGTCATGTGGCCTATCTGGCCGCCATCTTGAATTTTACTAAAGCTTACCCTTTTTTTTGCAAAAATTTAGAAAGATAGCAATTCTCGTTCCTGGCTTGTACAATATGGCTAAATTCAAAAATTTTGCTGGCTTGTTTAAATAAGTTTCGTTTTTCTTGGCCTAAAGAAAGGTCGAACTTTTTTTGTCTGTAAGCCATAACGTCATACTTTTTATGACGCCATATCTCGTCACCATAGTCAACACATTTTGTCAAAAATCATACCTAAGGAATAAACAAATAGCTCTCGAAATTAAAAGTCCGGCGAAAGTTCTTTTTAAGGAATACAACTCTCAATTTTTGCTCTCAATTAGAAGAAATCTTATAGACTCTTCTAGTTGTTAAGCATTGATTTGGTTAGACTCGCATAGGCTGTATTTGTAGTTTAAAAGAAAAAAAAAGACTCTACTATATTTACTGATGTAATAAGAACATTTGTTAGCATGGATTTATTTGGATGCTGAAGGCAGCTCAATTTATATCTGCCTCAGTTGATTAGCAAAATACATAATGTGGTCACTGAAAACTAAACAAGTTACACTTTGTATAACTAGGCCACCAAATACCCCGAATGGCACAGAGCGCTCCTCTCTGCAAGAACACTTGAACTTTCTCGAGTGATATCCGTCGTAAACAAATAAATCACACGCTGACAGAACGCCCTTGATT